TGTCTCTCTCTCTCTCTCTCTCTCTCTCTCTCTCTCTCTCTGTTCTTTGGGAATTTCACATTCTGCACCCCAGTCCCACTCACTTCCCGGCCCTTCCATATCCACCCTCTACTGCTGTAACCTCTCCTCTCCCCCGAAAAAAGAAAATAAAAAAACAAAATAAAAATTTTAAGAAAAGAAAAAATATCGCCTGTGATGGCAGTAAGAACATTATATAAGATAGCAACCCTGACGACTGAGGCTGATTTTGTTTGCAATACCTGATTTGATTGATTCCTGGTACACTTAAAGACAGAATTCCAAATTAAGGCTTCCTTTCTCAAAATGTTTGTAGCTAAAAAAATATAATTGACTTTCAAAAAAACAAAACGTTGTATCGGAGATGTAAAGGCATGGTGTCTTACCATGAACTCATCAAAGGGGGCCCTCAGCTGCCTCGGCTACTTACAGCATTCCGGAGTCTCTGCCTCGGAGGGATTTGCCCAGGTCACTTTGTAGTAATTGGCAAAAAACTTGTCGAGTTGTTCAGACCACCCGTGGTTGTCTCCTGAAAAGAGAGCCCAATAGCAAGAAGGTTAGAAAACCCAAGCAGATAGATATATGTTGCTGTCTTGGCAAAATGAGTCCCTCCAAGCTGAGCCAGTGACTCTCACGGGTAGCTGGGTAATTATCACCAAGGACTTCGCACATCTGTCTGCAGTGCCAGGCCTGGGGGGGGGAGGGCGGCAATCTCCGCGCTTATCCAGCGCCCTACTCGCTCCCTGCACTTGAGTCAGTGATGGTCACATATGCGGAAATGTGACGTACATTCGTTCTCCACATCGTTTTTGTTTCCCTGAACCACCTTCATTAGCTGAAACGGATTCTCGGCGTGCGTAGACATGTGTATTAATCGAAACCCGTTTTAGAGGCGCACAGACACGGATAGGAGGCTGTGGCCGCTTGAGCGAGAATGGCTCCCATATTTTCACGAAGGTGTGGCCTTGTTGGAGCAGGCGTGGCTTTGTTGGGGAGGTGTGTCACTGGGGGTGGGCTTTGAGCTTTCACAAGCCCTGCCAGGCCCAGGATCTCTTTCTGTGCCTGCTCTCAGCTCAGGCCTGTCTGCTTCCCACCAAGGCGATCAGAGGCGAATTCTATGAGTCTGTAAGCCCCCCATCCCCCGCTAATTAAAGGCTTTCTGTCATAGCGTTGCCTTGGTCATCAAGTCTCTTCACAATACAAGACTGCTAACTGAGCTGGCCGTTATGATGATACCTAAGACACAAAGCAGCAGGCCGAGGAGGTGTCACACACGGGACAGAGGTGCTGTACAAACATGAGCTCCTGCATTCAGTTCCCAGAATCCACACTAAAACAAAATGAAACAAAACTGTACGGTGGCATGTTTTTGTAACCCCAGTGCAGGGAAGAGAAGACAGGAAAGCCTGACTGTAAGAGTGAAGCTGACTTAAGACCAAGGCTCTGGGTGCTGCAGGCAGCAGAGCTGGGAGAGAAAAGGGCCGCTAAGTCCTGCACAGCCTGGACTGCTCCATCAAGGGCTTCGGAAGCTGGGCGAGGGACAGCGGGAGGTGGTGTTTGTCCTGTTGGTCTCTGGCCTTGCCCTTTTGATCGCTATGTTGATCTTTTCTCCCTATGCTCCCGTTTTTCTCTGATGGAATGGGGGCAGGTAGTCTGTGCCTGCAGATATTAGAACTCACTGTGACTTTACAGTTCACGGCTAAGGCACTGAGTCCGGCATCAGAAGACTTTGGACTTGTAAATGATGTTGAAACTGCTAAAGCCTGTGTAGACCTTCGAAGCTGGAATGGATGCACTCTGTACTGAGAAGCCCATGAGACTTCAGGGACAAGGAACAGACAGTTACTGCCCAACAGAGATACGTAGGTGGCAAGTTGGTAAGGGATAGACCTCCGATAGTTTATGCTGCCAACGTGACGGGACCCTCAGTCACTAAAGCGCCAGGCTTTATCTGTGAGGGAGTCTTAGATCGGGTTAGTTGAGGTGAAGTACCCCCAGTAGATGTGTGTCGAACCACAACATAGGTTAGGCTCCCAGACTGACTAAAAAGAAAGTACGGTAAGCGTGGTCACTCATCGTCCTTCCTGCTCCCTTTTCTTCAGCACTGAGGACTGAATCTAATCATGCACACTCATGCTCTTCCGCTGTGCTACAGCTGCAGCTGAACGCTGCTGCCCGACTGTGGGCGGAAGGTGGCCAGCTGCCCAGAGCCTCCGGGTACTGGGACTCCCGCTGTAATAAGCCGAACCTCTGAAGTGTGTGTCCAAAATAAACCCGTGTTCCCTAAGCTGCGCTTGCCAGGCATTTTGTTGAAGCAACAGGACAAGTTGCTGAGGCATCCATGTGTTTGTCAGGTTTTGAGGTTTGTGGCACTGGAATTGCCCCTTTTCTAGCTTTGGAAGTTTGTTGCCTTCTTTGCAAAAATTCTATTAATTCTTTTAATTAACGCAAGTATCTAGGAATTAGAATTTAAGTTTTTTATTACTAGACTTGAGGAACCTATTGAAAATTACAATGTGTTACCAAAAATTTCAAAAATAAATTCACTTTTCAGAGCAGCATTATGAGTTATTATGTATTTGTAAATAAAATGTGGAAATAGGTGACTCATTGGTCTCTGGTGATACTGAGGGGCTGCTGTCTCCTTCTCCCTCTCCTTTTCTTCTCCTTCTCTTCTTTGCCCTCTCCTCCCCTCCTGCCTGTCCCTCCCTCTTCGCTTTCTTCTTTCGCTGTGGTACTTCAGCTTTCAATCCATGGACTCACTTGGCAAGTGCTCTTCCACTGTGCTGACGCCCCAGGTCTGCTTGTTCAGACAACTAAGGTTGCTTTTCCTATCACAGCTGCACGGGACTAGTGAGAGGTCGAGCAAGTCTTAGGAGGGTCTGCGGACTTGACCTTGCGGGCTGCAGGGCCTTGTGAAACTGTGGACTCCACAGCGGCAGCTCATCTGGTCTGTTCAGCAGGGGGAGGGGAAGCAGGTGACACGGCATCTTCTGGGAACACAGAGCTGTTTGTAGGTGGTGTTTCCTTGCAGTTGAAACTGACAGACGTGCCAGTGACTGATGGGATGTTATTCGCAGTGCCCCTTTAGCAGGCCCTATATTTAACTCAGCCTTTTACAAGTGGACTAATTTTACATTGTCACATTTTTGCCATACATAGTTCAGCAACTTAGCATCATGGGCCTGGTGCCCTTTCCCAGTTATTCGTCTCTTGTGCGTGCCCTCTTGCCCTTCTGCTGTTTTCAGGAATGTCCTGTATGTGGTTATCTTCATTTCCTTTCTGTTGCTGTGTGACAAAATATGCTGACCAGAGCGAATTAAGAGCGGGGTTTATTTTAGCTCCCAAGTCACCATGCTTTGCTTCGGGGAAGTTCACAGCCACACAGGAACTTCAGGCAGCCGGTCACACTGCACTGATTAGTCCCTGCTGCTACCACCCAGCTTTATAAGATCCAAGACATCTTGCCCAGGGAATGGTGCCATTTCTTGTTTGATCTAGTCACAATACCCCCCTCCCCACTCATGCCCAGAGGCATTGGCCATCACAGAGTCCTTTGTGGCATCAATTTTGTCAAACAAGTTAAAATGGTGTAGTTCCTTAAGTTTTGTTGTTGCTTGCTTGCTCTTTCTTCTGTTATAGAATGGCTTTAGTGAGGTTTTTCCTGAGACAGCATCTAGGACCAGGTGGCTTGGTGTGGGCAAGAGTGGCTTCACAAACAATACTGACCCTGTATCCACTGTTACCAAAATATATGTGTCACCATAAAACCGACTACATGACGTCCCAGTCTCATAACAGGTATAACAAATCTTAAATATTTTCACTCTTATCATGCTTCTTTATGGAGCCTTGGGCTCCGAGGACTTTTCGGCAGGGCACAGGCTGGGGTAGAGCTGGCCCCGGGGGAAGGATGTCAATGCCATCCATCACTGTCACAGTTACCATGAGTGGTCGGGGGAGCCGGGTGGGAGTCTGCTGCAGCCTGAGTGGAGGCAGGAGGACTGCTCGTGAAGCGAGGGCCACTGGGGTACGGCAGTCAACCAGTCAACCAGTGTTGGCTGCTCCTCACTTCACCGAGGAGTCTCCCCGTCAGCAGGAGTGTTTGTCATGCTGGTGACTTCTCAAAGGTCACACCACTGGGCAACGTGAGCCATTGTGTTGAACCTCTTTCTGTCCCTTCCAGACTGCTATAGCTGAGCTGTTGCTCATGATAAACCAACTGCTATGTCTGGGACAGTGTCCTTGACACACTGATTGGACACGTAAGGTTGGAATGATGCTCTTTCTCTTTCTTATTCTTACTTCTTTTCACTCCTTTCTGCCTTCCTCTCCCCCTACCACACACACACATACAGAGAGCAATGGAAAAACAGAAAAAGGTGAAAGTGAAGTCAGGATGGCTGCAAGGAATCTTCGACTAGCAGAAACAATATAAACTACTTATTCTTCTTGAGGTCAGAACGCGTATTTTGTAGAATTTCTTTTTTAGATAGTAAAATCTTTGCACAAACAAGCCTCTTGGTAATTAGTTTTTACCTTCTTCCTGCTTGCCAAGGCATTTCCTCCTTCATAGCCTTTACTCCCTCCCAACAGAGGGCAGGCACACAGAACAGAGACATGTGGCCAGAATGGCAAAGCCGGAGTTAGCATTTTTAAAAGAACAGCTTTTTAGTATTCCGTGTTTCTATATTTTAACTCATATATGCTTGATATTTTAAGGATACAGTTTTTCATACATTAGTAACTATTGCAGGAATTTAATTCTCTGCTATTTTTTTTTTTGAAGTGATCTAGGGTAATCTACACAGTACTTTACATTGAAAAAAGAAATGATGGAGTACCTAAAGATACACCAGTGGGGGAAAAACTCAGTCTCTTTCACGCTAGTAGAACTTGGAAATTAAGGCACTTACCAAGAACATATACTCTTTCGTTATAGTTCTCATCTATTTGTCAGTGTGGGCAATCTGGAAATCTGCATTTTCTGTATCCTGGGTGAGTTTTAGGCCAAGTCCTCTGGGAACTACTTGATATTACTGTATATAGTGGGCCAACACTTTGATAGTGATTGCTTTTGAAGATAGTATTCTTCTCACAAGACAGTAAAGGGTAGTAAGCCTCATATCCTCCATAACAGTCCAGTAGAGAAAGCGACACCTCAGTGTTACAGCAGTCTAGTGCTCCTTGAAATCTGCAAATACTTCTTCTCAAAGAAGGATGGTAAAACAAAACAAAACAAAACAAAACAAAACAAAACAAAACAAAAACAACCAGTGACTTAACTCTTTCAGTAAGTCTAAATGCGATAAACAAGGGGTACAAAAATCCAAGGCTCCATCACTAACGAGGGTGGACAGAATCCCAGACAAAGAATTAAAAAGAATGAGCATGAGTTGTACAAAGAAATGAAAGAGGACACACACTCTTAAGTGAATTCTAAGTGGATGCAAACACCTGAATGACAAAACAAAGTCAGCATAGGATAAGAAAGTAAAATTCAATCAAGAGATAGATATACTGAAGAAA